TCTCACGGAGTACCTTCATTCTTGGACCACGTATTTCTGTCTTTGTTAAATAAATATTGCCATAACAAGAGTATTTTTTACAAGCTAGAATGAAAACATGCAAAAATGAAATAAAAGTAACGACTTTCTAATTCTTGCCTTTTTAAAAATGTAAGAAGTAGAAGTAAAAAGTAGGCTGAAAAATAATTACTCAAGTAAAGTACAGATACCCAAAAATTCTACTTAAGTACAGTAACAAAGTATTTGTACTTAGTTACTTTACAACTCTGAAACTATCCCATGAATCCCTGACTTTACGAAACTTTCAGAACTTAATGTCTACAACTGATTAACTGCTGGAGTCCATTCAAGATGGCCACCGCAGCTAATAAACCCTAACCAACACAAACATGGCTATAAATTCATAAAGTTTATTAATATTAAGCTGCAGTTTAAAGTGGTAAAGCTGATGAAATGATCATTTCCAAGTTTGAACAAATGGCTGCAACTCTGTCTGTACTCAAAATAAAGATGTTTTTTAGTTTAAAATGCATAGGTGATGAAAAGCTGGACCTTGTTTCCACTTCATCTTTTTTAGTGGCAGGCTAATAACTGAGTTATAGTTTTGGCCAATCGCCATCAATTTATGCCTCAAGTCCTCTAAAGTTTTACTTAAAAATATTTTAAAATTACTTAGCCAAATACATTGTACAGTAGAAACTATGAAAATATTAGTGTTATTAAAAAGTGCCTCATTGAGGTATTCTTGTTTAAAAAAAAGGCTTAAGGTACAGCATGCTGAAGGCAGTTTGAAATAAATTCCCTTTTTTTTTTTTGGTCCAGTAATTATAATCTGGGTGAGATTATGACTAAAACTCAGAGCTGAATTTGAGATCTTAAAATGCTAAAACATTTATGTCTATTTGAATCATTTTCATACATTACAAAATATAAATATGATTTTGTCATTGGCTTTGCCCACAGTGACAATGAGAAGTGTTAACTTTTTCTTCAGAGTGTAAGTAATTCCAAATGGTGGAGATAAGCCAGAAATCACAAGGAATAGGGCATAACAAAATACTACACAAGCACACATACAAGTACAGAAGAAACTCGATATATACACTGTTTAATAAGATTCAGGTCAAATGTTTCAGGTTCCTTCCTCACCAATTCTCACAGTATTTTACTGAAATTTTGTCCCATTTTTCCTGACAAAAGTGAAACTGAGTCGGTGTATAAGACGCCTTTTCAGCTTTGCCACAATTTTTCTTTGGGATTAATGATGGCCTCTTTAAAACATATGTTTGTTTGTTTTTTTTTTGTCTTTCAGCCACTCCGTAACTAATCTGGCCATATGCAGAGGGTCATTATCCATTTAGAGACCCATTTATGCCCGAGCTCTACTTTCCTGGCTGATGTCTTGAGATGCTTCAATATTTCCACATAATGTCATTTCCTCATGTTTTACATCACTCTGCCACCCCTGTGTTTTACAGTTGGTCCATATTTCTCCAGTTTTCTTCCAAATATGTTTCTTATGGCCTGACTGTTTAGTGTTGGCTTCATTGGACTAAATGAACATCTTTGTCCATGTGTGCATCAGAGTCTGGGCAACAAGGATGTCAGGCTGAACCCTCGACCACACGCTGTCAATCACAGTGTGACATGACATTTTTCTTTAAAGGGAACCACGGTTGGTTGTAACATTAGACTTTATTTTACAAACATATATTTTAACTGTAAAATAAAGACTGTAAAAATACTGTAGGACGTTCAGTTTTTATCATTTTTAAACTAAAAGTTTAAAAATATATTACATGGACGGAGCCATTTTATTTACAGAGCTGATTCATGGAAGAAGAACCTCAGCTTAGCCTGTTAGTCTATGCGCTAGCACTGACGCTATGTTGCCTTATACAGCGGGTAAAATAAGTATTGAACACGNCAGTGATTGTCAGAAACCCCAGGATCCAAATGCCTATTTTTAGATACAGTAGTTGATTAGATTTTGGATAGTTGTTTTTTTTTTAACAATAAGCGGAATGAAATAGAAGTAACAACATTCTACTTCTTGCCCTTTTTAAGAATGTAAGGAGTAGAAAGTACAGATAATTGTGTGAAAATGTAAGAAATCAAAGTAAAAAGTAGGCTGAAAAAAATTTACTCAAGTATAACCTAAATTTCTACTTAAGTACAGTAACATAGTATTTGTACTTAGTTACTTTACAACTCTCTCTAGTCATGAATCTTAGGTGTACCAACACATATTAGACAAGAAATATAACAGTTCAAACCGAATGAAGTTATTTGTGATTTTCTGAAGACCCCTGGTGGCAGAGGAGAGAAAGTAAAAAAAATCTGATTTCTCCATCATTTTATTTACAGCCATCTTCCAGGTGATGGCAGCAGAATCTGTAGCTCCTGTAGAACTTATTGTGAAACTTTTGTTGTTAGAAAAAAGCAAGAATGAAAAAAAAAGACAATTTCAAAAGGTGAAAAGTTAAATAACTGACTGATGTTTATTTTTACTGAAATAAACAAACATGTTTTTCAATATGGCTCATATCTGATTATGTTTTCTTTTCTTTTGCTGACAATCACAAAAGTTTTCTGAATATGATCGTACAAACAGACACGAGAAAAAAGTACAAACGTTTTTCTTTCTTGTAATCAATTTAGTGCACAGATTAAATGGTATGAGTTCACTTTAAATATGCACTCATGTGTGTCTGTTGATTTTTTTTTTTTACTTTCGACAGTCCATCAACAACAAACCTAAACATATTGCTACAGTATAGAATTATTTTTTTTTCAAAAATGACACCAACATTATACCCAAACAGTTCATTTAGAAAGTTTTTTTAAGCTATAAATGTTTAAAGTAAAAAAAACAAACAATAAAACATTATTTCAGTACAAAAACAGTAAGAAGAAAACAAATCCCATTTACATATTTTGTGAATAAAAAGAAAGTTTGATTTTCTATGTTAACTGGACTAAGGTGTCCTGAGAAAAACGTTTTTCCATTATGTCGAGGTTTGAAAGTAGAGGAGTTTCCGGAGAAAATTAAAATAACCCGGCATTTGTTTGAAAACCCCTTTAGCACAATTTTGTGAAACTTCAAGGTTAACCTGAAAAAAAAAAGACAAAAAAAAAAAGAAAACAAGAGTCAGAAAGGCCAGTTTTTAAATGAGAACATTGTTGACAGATGGAACAGAACTATTTAATAATAAAGCTCACCATCGTCAGCATTTCGGCCAAGTCTTTAGTAGCTGAGAATTCATCAAGAATGCTGTCCAGGGTTTCGATGTACCAGGACCCAGCCTGAGGGTCTCTCCAGGAGACGAAACCTGTTTGCCACATTATCAAAGACGTGTGAGGAAAACAAGAAGACTGAATCTGTATTTGGTTGTAATTTGCCTTTAAAAGCCTGTATCCTGTACACACCAGGGAAAGTGGAGTAGGACACCAGGATGTCACTCGGCGTGGGCAGAGAAGCTCTGGCGTCGACCTCATCCGATGCGCTCAGAGAGTCGCTGCTGGACGACGTCGGGATGGCGTCCGTTTGGTCGTCAAATCCTCGGACTGAAGGCTGAGCCTCATCAGGGGACACCTCGAAGCCTATGTCTTTTTCACCTTTAAGGAAAATAAAAACTAGTTTTCAGTTTGTTTTTAAAATATATAGTGGACACTTTGCTCGGTGTTGGCTACTTTACCTCCTCCACAGGCCTGAAGGAAAAAAAGTTTGGGTTTTCCTTGTAAAGAAGGGCAGTTCTGGCCGTTCAGGTAGTTTGTGATTTGCTGAACCTTGATAAACTGTCCATCCACACCATAAACGGCACCAGGGAAACGGTTATGATTCACCTACAAACATGAACATGAGCTCAGACCTACGGGATCAATCTTGTGCCAGCAGGAATTGAATTTGATTTGCTCAGATTCGGCCTCATGCAAGAACCGTTCGTACGCACAGATTTGTTCTTAAATTGTGCGTACGAGTGATTTAGGAGAATTTGTGGCATTCACCAATGTTTTCATATTCTAAGATTTTTTTCAGATACGAACAAAATTGACGAGTGGTCCAGACCTGTCGTATATTTTACGAGCAGTCAGTCTGCTGTTATCCAGACAGGTTTTCTTCACTAATAACCTTATATTTCGTTAGTTTGAAGATATTTTGAGTTGAAAATAAATTACACTCCATAATTATGTTGACAATAGGCTACTCTGCTTGAATTAGAGTTATAATTTTAAATGTAATAATTTAGACCAACAATATAAATTGTCCGTTCGTCCGTTTTCCGCCGCTTATCCGGGATCAGGTCTCGGTGGCAGCAGCAAAGAGACCCCCTCTCCCCAGCTACACCTTCCAGCTCGTCCTGGGGGACTCCGAGACGTTCCCAGGCCAGAGGGGATATATAATCAAGTCCTGGATTTTCTCCAAAGTGCCAGACTTATTTTGAAAACATTTTAAAATGCTTATTTCAGACCCGCATCTGAGACCACCGGCGACCGCGCAGCGTGCGGGCGGGGTACAGTGCGCAGCGCTGTGTCTTCTGAATAAATGAAAATGATTTAACACAGTTGTTTATACTTTTAGCAGCTCTTTTTATTCCACAGCTGACCTGCTAAAAAGGACAGATTTTCTTTTCTGGATCTCTGACAGACAGACTTCAATCTCTGAACTCGTAAAGTTCTTCTTTTTAATTTTCGCTGTCATTTTCATGAATGGACACTTCCTTGTATCTGAGGCAGGAAACATAGTCTTATATGGTGTTTTTGGGGTGGTAATTATGCTAATCTCCTCTCGCGTGCACGAGCAGCTGATAGAACAGGTGGAATTTACGCAGCTCATTTACGCACTTTTCCTGAAGATAGAAGAGTTTGTTGAATCTGRCGTGACATGTTCGTACGAACCCTTTGTACGAACAAAAGTAAGAGAAATTTAGGATAAGAATACGAACATGTTCTTGCAGGAGGCCCATTGAATCTGAATGTGCATAATTTGAAATTGAATGCATTGGTTTTAAAATGAATTTCTCTAAGCTGAAACAGAATTTAATGGTTTGATACTGAATTTAAAAAGTTTTTGAGTTTGAATTAATTTGCTTGGAAACTGTATTTTGGTTTATCAAAAATTCAGTTTGACTACTTTCACTTTCAGTTCCATAATTCAAATTTTTGTGTCACACATCCTGGTCCTTGAGAAAGCCAGGCAGAGTAATCAAACACAGATCGACAGATTTACGTTTCACTTTGGTGAAGTTTCCCTTCTGTAATGTAACAGAGTTGATGCAATCCACTGTAAAGACAAAGTTATTTTATTACAGTGATTAATTTTAGGTAGAAACTGTTACATTACAGAAGGGAAACTTCACCAAAGTCAAATGTAAATCTGTGGATCTGTGTTTGATTACTCTGGCTGACTTTCTCAAGGACCAGGATGTGTGACACAGACATATGAAATTTGGAACTGAAATTGAAAGTAGTCAAACTGATTTTTAATTGATCCAAATACAGTTTATAAGTAAATTAATTCAGTTACAAAACTTTAAATTCAGTTTCAATTCAGTAAAATTAATTTTCAAACCAATGCATTCAGTTTCAAATTATGCACATACAGATTCAATCTGAGCAATTCAAATTCAATTCCTGCTGGCACAAGATTGATCCCATATCAGACATCATCCACGTTTCCATTTGAATAAAATTGGGGAAAAGGTTTGTTAACATTTTTTGATATTTTGAACAGAATGATCAGTTTAGTGTAAATGTTAAGAGTTTTACTTCCAAGCAGCTGAAAGGGCAAAACAAGCCAGGTGAATGAGTGAAGCCAGGTGTCCTTTTCATATGAAAAGAACACTCAATTAAAGCTGATTACGTACCTCAGCCCCATGGGAGAGCATGGCAACCACACAGCAGTCATACTGGGAATGATCGATTTTAGACAGAGTTGACAGCGCCTGTTTGATTTGCTGAAATGAGAAGAAAAGTGTTGGCTTTGTGAACCTTCATGCGGCGTCACACACTATAGAAAAAAAAAGTCTCTCACTCTTTGTTTCAGGTTTGTCTTGACTTCAACAATAAAGTTGAGGGCTTTGAATCGTCTTTCCAGCTTCTCACAGTCTACGTTGGAGCCGTTGCGATTATTTAGTTTACTGTCAGGTTCAAACTCCACATTGTTTATGATGAGGCAATGGCCACATGGGCTGGCATCCATTTTATAGTTCTGTTGCAATGTGTGAAAACAGGAAGTAATAGAAAGGAGGATTAGAATAACGTAACTGAAGATTAAACAAATCACTTAAAGCATGATTGGTTACAGCATACCTGAATACTATCCCTGCATGGTCTGCCTTGTGGTCCTGGTCTTAAAGGATCCGTCCCAGGAGCTGTGGCATTGATATGTGTTAGACATTAAAGGACTTATATCTCATCTAATAATACTGCAAAGATCTGTTTCTCTTACATGGAGTGGGAGTATTGGGTTTCTTTACTGGATAGACAGGGAGGATATGTTTGGTTTGTTGATCAACATCCACGGGAGAGACTATAACAAATAAGAGCAAATTGAAAAAAAAAATATTTTCATAATTTTGCCTCTTATTAAGATTTCGTCCAGGAAATGACAGACTGATATGTGGCCATAAGAGCCAATGACAGCAGCTTTAACAATTTTTTTTAGTTTGATTTTTTCTATACTTCATATCTAAATGTAGGCATTTTTTTCCTACTTTACAAAATGACAGATTTTAATTAAGATTTCTAGGCAGCTGGCTTTACTGACACCTTTCAAATGTGTAGTTCCACACTTACTGAGTGGGAGAGGTTGTAGTTTGGGACGATCAACTTGTGTGGGTGTCGCAGGTTGAATACGAACAGGTGGAGCCCCATTCTGTAGGATTTCTACCAAACCGTGTTGACCAGTTTCCTGGAGACACTCCAGAAATATCGGAAAGGCTCTCCTCCCGCGGGTTTCCAAGTCCCGGACCAGTTGTCTGGCCTGGTCTCGTCTGGTCCCGGAGCTCTGACGGGAGAAATGATTACAGGTTGTTGTTTTTGGTTTAAACACCCCCCACCCCTCCACCCACCCCCAAATATTTATCTCGGTATCGTACAGTACCTTTATTTCATCGATCATATCTTGAGTGAAAACTCCTTTCGCAAGTAGGGCATCGTAGAGGTTAGATGGATCCAAGCTCGTCACTAAATTAACCCTGTTTTTTTGCAGTATTTTCTTGTGGTACTCATCCATCGTCCGTCCAGTTTTACCAAACCGGTGACCTTAAAGTACAAAAAGCTGCACTTAAACGATTTATTTGCTCCGGTTGACGTCCTAAAAATGATCTCCACTCCTTGGTAAAACTGAAACTAGTTAGAAATATCAGGAGTGACTCACAGCGTATTGTTTCCTACTGTTGCGCTTGATACTTCCTTGTTTACATCACCGCTATCTGTGATTGGTCAACTTGGGTGCGCTTGATTATGTTTACGGCGAGTCCCGTTTAACTAATAGCGGTGGCGTGCGGGGACTAGTGGCTCACAAGAACATCAAACCTACTAAAAAAAAAAAAAAAAAAGGGAGCTCAAAGCGGTCGCAAAACAAAACACTCAGTTTCCCAGGATTACTTTCGAGACGGGAAGCGTCTCCCCTCGATGTTCCGTTAATGGCAGCAGGTTATCGTTAGCCCGTCCTGGAGGAGCCGTAGGATGCTGCGGAACACACCCTGGGCGTCTTTGGTCGGAAAAGGAGCACAATCTTGGCTGAAAATGTGGCGCAACTCGAGTCGACACCGACTGACCACATCTGTTCGAGGTGACTGAAGTGTCGAGATGTTGCGCTGAGGCAGCCACTGATAACAGAGACAGACTGAACAGCCTAGAAACATCTGCTACTGTACCCATTGGGTTATTCTCACCATTTTTTGTGACACAAATAAACATGTCAGATTTTGTAAACCGTCTAAAATCCGAGATCCTGTAACCTGATGATGATGATGATGATGATGATGATGATGACGATGATGATGATGATGATGACGATGATGATGATGATGATGATGATTGATCTAATGTGTTGAAGGTAACTGATGACAGGGTCAAAAATGTCCCTGCCCCTGACTGTGGTGGTGCTGGTGGTCCTGTCTGTGCTGCTGGCAGGATCAAGCCATGCAGGACCTGAGATGGACCCGTACAAAATATTAGGAGTAACCAGGACTGCGAGCCAGGCAGAGATTAAGAAGGTCTATAAGCGTCTTGCAAAAGAGTGGTAAGTATTTTTCCCCGTACCCCCGTGTTTTAAAGAGAATCCTCTTTTATTTCCTAACCAACGATCTTCATTTCAAGGCATCCGGATAAAAACAAAAATCCAGGTGCCGAGGACATGTTTATTAGGATTACTAAGTCCTACGAGGTAAAGACCCAATGCACTGTCAGTGCATGAAAGCAGCACAGCATCCTATTGATATTTGTTCTGCCTTGCATCCAGATCCTGTCCAATGAGGACAAGCGTGCCACTTACGACCGCTACGGGCAGATGGACGATAGCCAGCCGTACGGTGGCGGTCGCTACGGCCATCGCCAAGACGGCTTCTACTTCGAAGAGTCCTTCTTCAACTTCCCATTCAACAGCAAGACCCACAGAGATTTTGGCGACAGCAGGTACGCGCTGCACTTCAACCAGTACGTAAACGAGCTGGTGCCCGACAGCTACAGGAGGCCCTACCTGATAAAGATCACCTCTGACTGGTGCTTCAGCTGCATCCACATTGAGCCAGTGTGGAAGGAGGTGGTGCAAGAGATGGAGAGTCTAGGTTTGAAGCGTTTATCCTTCAGCTCCACACACAAAACCAACATGGCAAGAGGATCCGAGAATGTTTATGTTTTGGTTTTTTTTTCCTGCAGGTGTTGGAATCGGTGTGGTTGATGTTGGCTACGAGAGGCGGCTGGCCAATCACCTGGGAGCTCACCGCACCCCGTCCATACTTGGCGTTATTAACGGCAAAGTGACGTTTTTCCATTTTGCCGTAGCAAAAGAACACCTCAGGCAGTTTGTTGAGGACCTTCTCCCACAGAGACTTGTGGAGCGGGTACGTATCAGTGCAGAAACAGTAATGATTACATTTATCACTCGCTGCTGAAACAAACAGATGTTTTGCCCGTGTCTCTGTGTTACTGATGGACAAATTTTAATGAAACTTCGTGCAACCTCTAATCACTGGACGTACACGTGCAACGGATGAGATTTTGGAGCCAAACACAACTCAAGATGGCCGCCACAGCCAACTGACCTTGGAAAACACAAAAGGGGTTATTCACAACACATAAGTGCTGCTCGTTGTGTGAGATCTTTGCCTAAAAATTATAGAATTAATTGTCGGAGTCAAACTTGTTCTTTCAGAAAGTAACCACTGGATGAACGTCCGTAACTGATTGCCTTTTGGAGGCTGTGTCCAAATTTAGGGGCTGCGTCATTCAAAAGACCCGACCTACCTGGTCTACATGGACCAGGTCCTTTATTGACAACAAGGACCAGAAGAAATTGGCTGTGAATTTGCACGGTCTCTAGTTTTATTCCCACCCTTACACCCATGTATGTCCTGTCACCAAGAAAGCCTGATGGCACTAAACTAAACTAAAACACGTTTATGGAAATGACAAAAGCCTACCACCAGATTTTTATTTAAAGTTGTACTCCTGTCTCCCACTTCATTCACCATTACAACAACAACAACAACAAAAATCTCAGAGAAGGATACACGGGACCCGTTCCTCAAATCGGGGGGAAAGGAAGACGCATTTGTGGGCCACAATTGGAGGAGGCTTCGAATTTGAACAGCCTGCTGTGACATAACTGGCCGACAAACCTGGCCTCTGAAGGAGGCAGCCCCTGAATTTGGACACAACCAGAGCTGTCCTAATTCAAAATGGCTGCCACAGCTAATTGTCTTAGTCTACGCAATAACGTCAATAACTCGTGTTTTTTATACAGTAGTAGCTAAGAGTCATTTACAACACTGTTTGAACGTAACACCTCGTAATTGCTTGAGATGGTGCAATATCTAAAATCGACAACTCTGCTAAGAAAAAGTGGTCAGCAATACATTCTTTTAAAGGCACAGTGTGTAGGATTTTGTCAATTCTTTTAGCCGAAATTGAGATAATCACTAATGACAATAATAAAAAAACATGTCTAATCATTACAGACAAAGACCTTGTTTTATTATTTTTACCTTATAAAAAGCTGTTTATATCTCCATGGTCGCGGGTCGACACAAGCAGCCACCATCTTGCACCGCCATCTTGTCTACGAAGGCTCATGAAGGACAAACTGCGGTGGCGGTGTCAAAAACTGTTTTAGTTGTAATACTATATATGTAATATTTGTTGTCTGTCATTGTAGCTGGGATACTTGAAACATCACTAGCCCTGAAGCTGCTGGTAGACATCACGGTTGGAATTATCAAAGGTTTTTGACACCTGAGAGACACCGTAGCAACTCCTTTGCGTTTGGAAGCGGGGGTGGGGGGAGGACCAGGGAGGATGATTCAACCACTCACCCACTAGATGTCGCTGAAAACAACAAATCCTACACACAGTGCCTTTAAGAAATATTGGATTCTTAAAGCATTACTGGTGTCTGTTTTTTTTTTATCTACTTTCCATGTTTCAGGTGACTGACAAAAACGAGCAGCAGTTTTTGAACAGCTGGCACGAGCTCAACAAGCCTCACGTGCTTCTGTTTGACCAAGTGCCTTCAGTCCCTCTGCTGTACAAAGTATGTTCTTATCCTGTTAGTGTGAAATCTGCTGTACTTGAAGCGTGCATAAACATGTTCTCTGATTGTGTTCATGTCTCCATAGCTGGCGGCGTTTGCTTATAAAGACTACCTACAGTTTGGTTATGTGGACCAGGGTCTTTCAGAAACCGCCGACCTGCAGAAGCGCTTCAACATAAACACCTACGCTCCGACCATGCTGGTGTTTAAGGAGAATGTCGGCAAACCCGCTGACATCATCCAGGTGAATGAGAACCCAGTTTGGTGCTGCCTCTTCTCTAGCAGACCGAAACGCCGACTTTTCCATGTCCTCCAACCCTGCAGGCTAAAGGCATGAAGAAGCAAATCATCGACGAGTTCATGTCCAACAACAAGTTCCTCCTGGTGCCGCGGCTCGTCAACCAGAAGCTCTTCGACGAGCTCTGTCCTGTCAAGCAGTTTCACCGACGCAGGAAGTAAACGTCCGCTCACGCGTGGCACAAACGGAAAACGGCAAATTCAAGCGGACCGTCTCATTTTTATTCCCCCACCGCTCTCCTCAGATACTGCGTCCTGCTGATCACCGACGACGAGGAGACCCTTTCCACTGGGAACCAGGCGTTCCTCTCCTTCGCGTCGTCCAACGCCAAGGAGGTGGTGAGGTTTGCGTACGTGTACCAGCGGCTGCAGCAACCGCTCTGTGACGCCCTCGTGGACGACAAAGACAGCTCGCCTTCGACGCCGCAGGTACATCTATCCCGCCTGGTGTGTCTTTAAAGATATCCACGATTAGTTGTAACATTAGACTTTATTTGATAAACATATGTTTTAACTGTAAAATAAAGACTGTAAAAATACTGTAGGCTGTTTAGTTTTTATCATTTTTAAGCTTAAAGTTTAAAAACATGTTACACTGGCGGGCTGGGGCCATTTTATTTACGCGCAAAGCATTCTGGGTAAATGATGACGTGGATAGGTCCTCGGTGTGAGCTATATCCACCCTGAAGGTTAATCTTGGACAACATCTGAGGATCGACTCTTAAATGAAACCAGAGAGCGTTGACAGAGAGGTAGAAATAATTCAGCCTGGAACTGAAAATATGGATGGAGGACAACAGAGCTGCTTCATGGAAGAAGAACCTCAGCTTAGCTTGTTAGCTTTAGCGTTAGCCCCGACTCTATCACCATATGTATTAGCTCAGCGCTACACATTCTCCTCTCATCACTGAGGTCCTCCATCCACCTGACAGAGAGGGGAACACAAAAATGACTCAGCTGCAACTGAAAATATGGATGGAGGACCTCAGTTTAGCTTGTTAGTTTGTCACGCTAGCACCGAGCTAATACATGAAAGGCAATATAGCGTCAACGCTTAGCGCAAAGGCTAACAGGCTAAGCTGAGGTTCTTCCATGAAGCAGCTCTGTTGTCCTCCATCTATATTTTCAGTTACAGGCTGAGTCGTTTCTACCTTCTCCTCTCTGTCAACGCTCTCTGGTTTCATTTAAGAGTCAATCATCAAATATTGTCCAAGATTAACCTTCAGGGTGGATATAGCTCGCTCACACCAAGGACATATCCATGTCATCATTTATCCAGAATGCTTTGCGTGTAAATAAAATGGCTCCGTCTGTGTTAAAATATATTTGTAAAAATTATAAAAACTAAACAGCCTACAGTATTTTTACAGTCTTTATTTTACACCTAAAATATGTGTTTATCAAATAAAGTCTAATGTTACAACTAATCAGGGATCCCTTTAAAGTCTTCGATGGTGCTGTTTGTTTGAATGTCAGTGTAGTTGGCAGCGTGTGTTCTCTGTGTTTGTACCCTCAGGTGGTGATCCTGGAGAGGCGTAACGCAGCGGGTAAGGCGTTGTATAAACTCGTCAGCAGCTGGAACGGCAGCGAGGAAGACGAGCGGCGTCTTCGAGCGGAGCTGGAGCGACTTCAGAAGGACCCGTCCATCCTCGAACGCGACGCCGTCCTGCCCGAACTCAACAACGAGTTTGCCTCGGTTTGTTTCTCCTGAACAAAACCCGTCCGTTTAAGAAAAAAATAATTTACTAATCCATGTTGTTATAATGATCTGTAGATATTTGTGATCCGGTGGGTCTACGCTTCATATGATTACCTCTCCGAAGTCATTGATGATATTCTCCATAACAACTGGTAGGTGTGGCAGCAGTTTCTGTGGAGTAAATTAAGCTGTTTATAGTTTTAGTTTGACATTTTGGATGCTAGTTTCTAAATGAATCTCCTTTTCTTTTGTTTTAATGTTCAGGCGAGAGATGATGCCTCTTCTGTCCCTCATCTTCTCTGCTTTGTTCATCTTGTTTGGGACTGTGGTCGTCCAGGCCTTCAGGTTGGTTCTTTTTAGTTTATTTTCCTTATTAGAACACGGAAAAAAAAAAAGCAAGTGTTAATGGGTGCAAAGGGGAAAGCACAGTCAAAAGTCTCTATTTTGCTGCAGTGACTCAAGTGATGAAAAACTAATGAAACCAAAATCAAAAGAAGCAGAAAATGGATCATCAGAGACCATCAGTACCTCCAGGTGAGAACAGGTTTTAATGGGAACTATTTTCTCAATGTAGGATTTAAGTGTAATTTTTAAGCTTTGCTGATTCATTTATTATTATTTTGTTGTTGTTTGTAGCCGGCCTCCTAAAAAGAACTTTGTGGAGGTGACGGAGCTGACGGACATCACCTACATGAGCAACCTGGTGAAGCTGAGGCCGGGACACATGAACATCGTCCTCGTTCTCACCGACGCCTCCAAGAACATCCTTCTGAGCAAGTTCGCCAAGGAGGTCTACTCCTTCACAGGGTAAACTGAAACCTCCTCTGGGGAACTGCTCAATTTTCTTTCTTTACTGTCTTAAACCTAAATCAGCATTCAGACTTGTATTCTTTTTATTTATTTATTTATTTATTTTATTTACCTTTTTTGCAATCTAACTACTTTTACTCATATATCAAAACATTCAGCTGATACAGGAGATGATACAGGAGATAGGTTCTATAACTTTTGTTTTTTTTTGTAATTTTTATACATATTTTATACATATATATATTAATATATATTAAAATGTTTAACTTTGTTACAAATATTTTCCTCATAAAATACATTTAGGACCCTTCGGTTTCTTTAAGAACATCGTTCTCTTTGACATCTGCTTCAGTGTACCTTACGTCTTTTTTTTTTTTTTTTTTTTTGCTACCATGCAGCTACTTTAGCTTTTAGATACTGTTTTGCTACTTTTAGCTTCTGGCTAGCCTTTTGCGATTTGTAGCCTTAACGTTTTGACACTTTCATCTTCTTGTTACTGTTTTTGCTTTTTTTAGTCTTTTGCTTTTTTTTTATCTTTTAGGTTATCCTTTTGCAGCCCTTAGCGAGCATGTTGCTGTTTGTAGCCTTTAGCCAGCTTTTTGCATCTTTTAGCTTGTAGACATTTTTAGCCACCTTTAGCCACAAAGTAGTCTTTTGCTACTTTAGCTTTTAACTAGTCTTTTGCTACTTGTGTTAACCTTTAACCTTTTTTTTAGCTTTTAGCTTCTTGACACTGTTTTGCCATTTTTAGCTACTAAGTAGCCCTTTGCTACTTTACATTTTGACTAATTGTTTGCTACTTTAGCTTCCAGCTACCATTTTTCTAATTCGTTTTTAGTCTTTTGCTACTTGTACTTTTTAGGTTAACCTTTTGAAGCTGTTAGCTAGTATGTTGCTATTTCTAGCCTTTGGCTAGCTTTTTGCACCTCACAGCATCTAGACACTATTTGACTACTTTTAGCTACCTGCTAGCCTCTTGCTTTTTTACATTTTGATTAATTTTTGCTACTTTCTACTCCAGCTAGTATTTTGCTACGTTCCCCTTTTTAGCCGGCATTTAGCAGCTTCTAGCCAGTGCTCTGCTTCTTTTAGCTTGAACAGTTTAGTTTTATCTTCAGCAGATTTCAGCAGTCATTTAGCGCTCAGTATGATTACAGCTATTTGCTCATGTCTCTCAGGAGTCTGACGCTGCACTTCTCCTTCCTGAACCTGGACAAGCACAGCGAGTGGATGACCACGCTGCTGGAGTACGCTCAGGACGCCATGCAGATCGACGCCGACGAGGACGACGGGGGGAACCGGAGGGTCGACTACACGGGCTACGTGCTCGCTCTGAACGGCCACAAGAAGTACCTGTGCCTGTTCAAACCCGTCTACACGGGGGAGGACCACGACAGTAAGTCGTCGGAGGATGAGGCGGGGGCGTCGGGGGGGAAGCCGAGGTCCGGTTCTCGCGACAATCTCCCAGCGCGCAAATCGAACCGCTCCCGCAGCACCGCCACCCTGCAGATCCATCACAAACTGGACCGCCTGGGCTTGTGGATGGAGAGGCTGATGGAAGGCACTTTGCCTCGTTACTACGTCCCAGCCTGGCCAGGACTCGACAAGATCACCCCCAAATAAATAAATCAAAGAAGAACTTTGTATTCGTATCCTGTCAGAGGAAAGTAGAAGGAAAGTTGTCTTTTCTTTTTACCATTTAGAAGAGGTGCAGTTTTAATCAAACAAGGTCAATTTGACCTCCACTAGGGGGCGATGTCCTTTACCTTCAACCCTGAGTGCATGCTGTTTTAAACTGTTGGTCATCATGTTTCATTCAAATGCTGCAGCTACAGCCTCGTAAAGATAAAATCACTGTGGCCGCCTGCACTCCTGTTATCACTAAAAGAGACGAGAATGACTTCACATCAGGACAAGAGGACAAAAGTGTCCCACGTTTTTAGACAGTAGCGTTCACACAAGAAAACTTGAACTTCCTGTTTGGATCTTTGACCTTGTGCTTTAAAGCAGGCGTGAAGAAGAAATCTGATCTTCATCTCCATCGGACCACTTAATAAACCATTTAGCAGAGCCGTTAAAGAATACTGTGAAGATGCATGTAAACTTATATTTGACCGTTTTTGCCTTTCATGCATCTCTGACCTTCTTTTTTTTTAAATTATTATTTATTTATTATTAATTTGCTTGTGCAATAGAGCTTACTGCTGTTATGATGATGCCTTTAACTCTGGACCTCGAGGCGTTTTTTTTATGGTCTTCTCGATCATGTTCTCTCACAGAAAAAAACAAAGAAACATTTTATTAGCTGCATTAAAATGGCTAAAACACATTTTAAAATGTGCACATTTGAAAAAAAACTTTGAGAAAAATCTTCATCTTTTAACTTAAGTTTGTAGCTTTATGTAGCATCGAGCAAGCTAGCTAATTTTTAGCCTTTAGCTAATGAGAGTCACTGAAATACCTTTAATTTTTTAAACACTGAAAATTGAAACTTAAGGCTTGATTATTTTTTCTTTGTAATACTTGTGTTTTGTATTTTGGCTTTTTCCCTCATTCTGTCCTAAAAAATCTTATAACTACTTCCTGTAAATATTGCACATAATGTTATTTATAGGATATTTATTTTGGAATCATCTAAAGACTGAGATGATTACATGACGATACTCAGACATGTGGTTATGTTTTTGTTTTGTGTATCAGTAAGTTATGCTGCTGTCAGATGTTCTCGGTTGTCTTCAGTGCATTTATTGTCTTGTTTGTTGTAATAAAATCATTTCGGTTCACTGACTGACTCAGCAGCATTTTGTAGTTTGATAATTCAGTTTTTGATTAGAAATATCTGCAGTGTTGAAGGATGGAGACCCCTCTAAGTTCTGTCAACTTCAGCCTCTTAAAGCTAATATACAGACATACAGCAGGTAAAATAAGTATTGAACACGTCACCATTTTTGTCAGTAAATATATTACTAGAGGTGCTAATGACATGAAATTTTCACCAGATGTCGGTAACAACCCAAGTGATCCATATATACTAAGAAATC